GCAGAGAACCATATTGATGAAGACAATAAAAAAGAACATGAATTTCTGGTCCCCAGCTAACAATACATACATATTCAGGGATCACATTCATACGAGTAAAATATGAAATTCCCAAATGATCCCAACAGATTTAAAGTAGCCATAGATTTTACATGCAAAGGTAGAAAAACCTGCCAGGTGGATGGCATATTCTCACCCAGTGAAGAAGTGTCTGTTTTAGCAAGGTGTCCATTGACCTTGAAGTACTCATCTACAATTGAGTAGAGAGAATCACCTTCACAGTTATATCAAACTCACAGAATCTACTCTTCTTTGTTGTATGGCTGAGTTAATGATATATACATATCTGGTTATGTATGAATGGTCTTAGCATATCAGCAGGGCTTTTACACCAAGGAAACTGATCTGACTGAATAAACCCCATCATGTTAATACATAGAATCTTCAAATGCACAAGATCTTTGGGACTCTACAATTTCTCAGAAGCACTGACCATCCTGCTGTTTGTCAAATCAACATTGTAGCAATGGCTGAAGCAATGCCATGGTTTTCTGTGTGTCCTGCATGTACAGCAGCCTTAGACTCCTTTTACATCAGTTCATTTTTCAGCCAGAGCACTGCACATTACCTCGTGTCTCTTGATCTCAGGCAGATGTCTCCCGTGTAATGATTTTCTTTCTCTTTGAAAGTAGTGTCCCTGACCTTGTATGACCACTCCTTTACACTTCTGTCAATATTCCTTGCCATTGTCTTAATGGATTCTCCTTGGTTCAGTTGTATTCTTTGTCTTACCAGGATGACACTTGAGGGAGCAAACATGAAAAAAGTCTAACCAATTTTGCAGCGTTCACTGCATGGAGACCCTAAGTCTTCCTCCCATGACTGCAACCTGTGTAACACCCAGGAGCCTCCTTGGACCACTATCTTTTAGATATTAATGAACTCTCATTTTGCTTGAAGAAACGTGTGAGTCTTCCATTATGAAGTGAATTTCCCTCATCAAAATTTATTTCTTTGGATCCAAGATAAACTTTAAGATATTAAGTACAGGAGCAGAAAAAGTGATGAGATTGAAGTGATTGTAACAGATTCAGCCACCATGGTGCCTGTTCCTATCATAGGTCTGCATAAGCTGACTCTTCCAAGTGGGGATAGCTGATCTGTCATGTATAGGCTTTGCAAATAGTTGGCCCTGAGTTGTGAGCTGTCAACAATAGTGACTGTCTAAATATTTTTTTCCTATTAATTTTATCACTGGAGATATTAGTATCATGGTTCCTCAAATCCAAACCACCATCCTTTTCTCTTCTGAACTGTCTTGTCTCTTCTAAGCTGTCATTGCCTGGTAGAATTTAAATACTTCTCAACTGTGTCTGGCATTAATTCTAAAGGCATATCATGAATTTTGACACTTTTCTTTCTTTTTTATTTACCTATTTACTTTTTTGAGACAGGGTCTCATGATGTAGTTCAGGTAGGACTTAAACTCACTATGGAGTTCAGGCTGGCCTTAAACTAACAATGAGTCTCCTGCTTTGGCCTCCTGAGTACTGAGATGGTGTGCCACTGTGCCTCTGACATTTTCAGCTGTTGAATGCAAAGTATTCTCTGAGGATCACCAAAGTTCCTTTTTTTTTTTTTTTCTTTCCTTTAAGGCTCTATAGAGTCTTAGAAAAAGCTCCATAGAAGTTTTCTCCTTTAAGGCTCCATAGAGTCTCTCAGTTTAGTCTCACTGAATAATCTCTACTCCATGAGTAAGAAGCAGCATGTCTAATGGAACACACAGTCAAGCTTACTAAAGTTTTTCTAAAGCAATGTATTATTTAAAATGATTATTAGATTTGGTGTAAAATGCTTAGTGATATTAACTGAACAGATTATGGAGAGCTGGACAGTTACTAAGAAAACAAGCTATCTAATAATTTTAGTAGGAAGTAGTAGACTTCCTATGGTGTTCTTTTCAGAGGGTCCTGTCCTCATACCAAGATCACTTGTATCTCTGTATCTAACTTGACACGGTATTTGTAGCGGCTCATAAGTTAGTCTTATGTTGTGAATATCTGTGTCTGTGTATATTTTCAGATACTCAGGATGCTGAGAACCAAGATAAAGATGAAAAGCTAGTGGTTCCCAGGTGAATCTGAACTTCATAGGCTGTAAATGTAACGGTGACTCCTGGAGATCACAGGTCCTGGGAAAATCAGACATTGCTGTATATTACTGTTCCATCCTTTCTGGCAACCATGAGAGGAATCTGTTTGTTTGGTGCTTCTTCTTTTGATTTTCAACTTTGTTTTCTTTTCATGTATAGCAACCCAGAGTCATTCTGGCCCAAGGTGAACACATCTTGGGTCTTCCTGCACTTATTTTGAGGCCTTCGGCATTCTGTGGGAGGAAGTTGGGAGGACATTCACATCCTTCTTCTTCTTCAAATTAGGCTTTGGTTTGTTGAATGGGATTCTTTAGCAAGAAACATAACTGGACTGCATAGGTAATTACATTAAATTGCAATATTGGGTAAACTGACCTGTGGTATCCACGGTCTCTTGGAGTAGACAAGGCCTCAGAAACCCTTAATAACAAGAGCCCTGCAAATAACATGGAACACAGTGTACTGGGGTTGTGGTCATTGGAAACTTCTCATTGTGTGCCTGCCACACCTGCATTGTTCAGGAAGTGCTAAATCTCCCTCTCATTTGCATGTTCTCATGCCTGTGCACTGAGCACCTGCTGCTCTCTCACCCACTCCCTGTCCTGCTGTAACTCCCTTGACAATCATACCCTGCTGCATTGATCATGTTTCTTCTCTTTGAAGCAATGGATGTCCTTTTTGGGTTTTTTTGTGCGACTTCCTGTGGTGGATTGATAACTGGTAGTCAACTTGTAAAGCCAGCTGAACTGAAATCAGTGCAGTGCTGAGTGTATGGCCCACCTGAGGACTGTTATCAAGATAAAAAGGAGAACTGGTGAGGAAGAAGTGTTATTTTTTGTTCTCCATAGTGCTGCTGCCATGGGTTCTCCTCGAGGAGGTTTTTGAGCTTCTTTCCTCATATGAACTTGGCTATTCTCAGCATCAGAAGAGCTCGGAACCTTGTTGTTACTGAGAATGTCTGTGGTTCACTTTGGGGGAGCTCTAGTATTTACCACTTCCTGGCTGCAGAGGGTACCATGTATGCTACTCAGTCTCCAGGAGAAGCTTTCTGACATGAACTCAGCTGTCCTTATTGTCAGAGGAGCGCAGGACCTCAGTGTCACTGAGGATGGCTGTGATACTTTTCGAAGGAGTTCTGGTTCTTACTTTGAGCATCATTTCCTGGCTCCAGTGCACAAATATCAACCTTTATGACTCAGATCCTTCACCCTACTGGTGCAGACTTCCTACTTCCACCGCTGACCTTTGGGCCTTCCTGGCTCAGTGGAGCAGTCTTGCATGAGTCATTGTTAGGGGTTTTGGGCTTCCAGCTGGACTAGTGGGGGGCATTGTCAAGGGCTCTAGGCCTTCAGCTGGACTCATACAAGACATTGCTATAGGATCCAGACCCTCAGCTGAATTACTTGAGTCTTAGTGTCTGGACAGATTTCCTGTACTTTTCGTATATAACTCTGGGTAACCATTATAAAATAATACTCTAAGTATTGTGTACTGTATGTAATTGTTTTCCTTGCAAACCCTTGACTACAACACTCCTGTTTAGTCTTCATATCAGAACCAGATAAGAAATTGTGTTGTCTAGTCTTTCATTGTTTAGTTTTTGTTTTCCATACGGCGACCTCCAAGAAAAGGATGATAAGAATAATGTGCTGCATGACAAAATGGATGAGAACTTGCCTGCTATCCATTGCCAGGATTTGTGTGATTCCCGCCAGCCTGGCAAGAGTCACGCATCCCTCACTGAGGAGCTTGTAGCTCATTCCAACCGGAATGTGGCGAGTGAGTCACCCACTGCAAAGTGAAAAGGGCTCCTTTTGGTCTCCTCATTGTGTCCATACCCTTTATTCTCAGCCTTCCATGTGGATAAGGCTTTTTCTCTGCAGGCAGGCTTTAGAGGTGCACCATGGCTTCTGTCCAATTCTACAGTAGGGTTGGAAGCACAGAAATTCAGTTCATCAGGTAGCTGATACTCTTTTTCATCTGGAATGCTGTGCTCTATAGACCACCTCCAAGAACATGGAACCTTTTCATTGCCTACATCAGGGATTCACAGGAGGCAAGGACTCAGAAGCTGCATTCTGACATCCACCACCTGCATCAGTGGCAAAGGATCCTGTGTCTGAAGGAGCACCTAGGTTGTTTTCCTGTGGAAGCATTTCTGTATTTCTTCTCAGTTTAATCTCAGTGTTTACTAATATATGAAAAATATAAATAAAGTCCTTGATAGATCAAGTTAATCAAGGGGTCTGAAGCATATAGTTAGGAAAATTTCCTATGATTTCAAGGAAAAAGTGTGATAAATAGTTTTTCAAGAATGAGGAATTGTATTGTTGTTTTATTCCTTTTGCTCTTCCTCTTTGTTCATTTGTATAGGCTTAAATGATGTTTTTATACTTGCCTATTTTTTTCAGATATCAACCCTTTGGTTTTTATTTTCTTTTACACTGATGGAGTTCAAACTCAGGGCCTCCTGCTGCTAGGCAAGTGTTGTACCACTGACTAATAACATGAATCCTGTTCATTTTCTTTTCTTTTGCATCTTACACTTGGAATACCCTGTCGCCATTTCTTCAAGGCCTCAAGAGCTATTTCTAGTCTATAACAAGTTCATCTAGGCATTCTGTGTTACTGTGATGGTTGTTGCATTCATAACACTTCCTTTCAGTTCTCTTTCTCTCCATGTCTTGCCATTGTCTATTTTTCCCATTGGAGCTGTTAGCGTATTAATAATACTGTTTTTAACTTTTTGCTATGATAACTCGAAATGTCTGCTAAGTCTTTCTCTAATATCTATCCTTTTTATCATGAGAAGTCTTCAATTTTTTTTCTTGGAACCCACAAGATTAAATGGATGACACCAATGGAAATAAATCTAACATTTAGGGAACTTTCCTGTTTTTTTCAGGTGGGTTTAAGCTGAGTTTTGTGAATGTTGCAAGTAACTTGCCACAGACTATATCTCCTTGACGTTTTAAATTTTTGCCTGTTCTAGTGTCTTAGTTTCTTGTGGGAGTTCTGATTGATGTCCATGTCTGTAGTCCTTTCAGTTTTATTCATGGGTTATGGCATTAGAGTGCTGTTGAGTGTGAGTATGTTTGGAAAGAGACAACGCAATGCACAGTACTCTAACTTATACTCTGGATTTAGTGAGCCTATGTGCAGGGCTGTCATGTATTGTAAAGGCTTCCCAGTATTCCAACTATCTTTCCAATGTATATGCACCTTTCTGTATTATTGGACCGCCAGTGGTGTGCTTGGGAGAGTGTAGTGCTATTTGCAACAGACTTCTCACCTGGTTCATCCAGAAAAATGGAATCCTCATGCTGATTGAACAGACCCCACATAGGTATCCTGGTTCTGTGTTTTGGGAGATGATTATGTTTATAACAGGTGACTTGCATATATTCAATGGTTGAATGAATATTTCTGAATTCTGTTACAGAAAACCAAGACAATAAAGACAATGAAAAAGAACAGGGATTTCTTGCTCTCAGGTAATAATTATTGAAGTTCTGCATTAGGGTGAGTAATATATGTCCAGGTTCACAACTAATTAAGAGAAGAAAAAGGTCAGCTGTAACCGTAGATTTTATGAACAGAAGTTAACAAGACTGCTGGTGTGATTACATACCTTTGATTAATGAAAAAATAACCTCTTTGTATAAGGCATCCATTTTCCTTTAGATATATATTTGTACACCTAAATACAACCAATCTGCTTATTAATATTTAACCATACAGAATGTATTCTTCTCTGTTCATAGATCAGTTGAGGATAAGATGCATGTCAGGTTCTGTATGGATGACCTTATCTTCTTACCAATGAACATGACAAGATTAAAGACACTAATTGTGTCACTATATATACAGGAAGTATCTGGAACACAGACATCTTGGATTCTACAGTACCCTAGAAGCACTGAGTGTTTTGCTGTATGAAAAGTCAGCACAGATTAAAGAAAATGTGGAGCCACTGGTTTGGTTTTACGTGTCTGGTTGTGGGATACAGAGAGCCTTAGGACTCCTTCGCTATCAGTTCATTTTTTAGTCAGTGCACTGGCCATGTCTGCTTGTCTCTCTCCTTCAAGGCAGGTGGACTCTGTTCTCCTCCTAGAAGGATAAACTTCTCTATGTTTGAAGTTAGCACGCCTGCTGTTGTGTGACCACTCACTTATACCTCTGTGAGAACCACCAAGATATCTTATATTCAATTTTTCTTGCTTTAGTGATATTCTTTATCCCACCAGGCTGAGCACAGAGGGAATCAATGAGGAAAAAGTAGCAGAAATCCTGCCAGACTCATTAGGTGAAAGCCCTGAGACATCCGGCCATCACTATGATTTAACTGACAACCATAAGCCTTTCTGCACTGCTACTGCACTATCAGATGCACATGAAGTCAGATCATTTCTGGATGCAGCTCGTGAGTTCTCCTTATATAGAAAACTGCATATATACCACCAAATTTTCTGAGAACTGAATGGAAGATTCAATGTGGTATAATATGACTGCTCTCTTCTCACTTTATTTGCAGAAAATGTTCAAGATTGTAAGGATGAAGCCCCACTGCTAAAGATCTCCAGGTAATTGACATTGCAAGATTTCTAATGCTAACTAAGTTCCTATTAAAAAGACTTTTAGGAAATACAATCTGCTGAGTGTATCTAAAGAAACCTGAAAGCGTGTGTTGCATTTGATCTCAGCCAAAAGGCAGAGAAGTGATGTCAAAGTATATGTTGATGTGGCTCACATTGTTTGATTTTATGATATTTAATGTTATATCTTACTATTATCTTAAATGACAAAATAGAATTCAGGTGAACTGTGCATGCTCATGAATTGCAAAATTTTTGTGTGTATGATGTTTGTTAACTTTATGATCAAAATTAGAGAGAGATACATGTGTAGTCTTTGCAGTTTCATTTTATAGTTTCTCTTCACAGTTTTCTCTTTGTTGGAAATATAAACAAAGAAAAATTCAAGAATATGTAAGTACTATGTATAGAATGGCTCAGGAATTCACTTGCTTTTGTATGTAACTATTCAAAAAAATTTATGCACTGTTTATTCTGCATGTAGCAACCTTCTATTTGAAGGAATCTCTTGGATGAATTCAAAGGAATCTTTCCAAAGCCCTTAACAGTTACCTTCACCCCATTTACACTGTTCTTTTTTCCTTTCTACCTCCCTTAGGAAATATTTTGTCATAATTCAGGATCATGCCAGGAAGCTGACCCAGTTATATGAGCAGCTAGGCAAAGGGAGAGATGCCTCTTTGTCCCTTGAGCACCATCTGGAGTTTCTACTGACCCATGATGACCCTGAGGACTATCAGGGTCAAGACTACATACAACAACTGGCTCAGGGGTGCAAGATGGCTTCGAATCTTGTCCTGATGCTCAGTGAAGGTGAGGGCAACACATACCCTGATTAAAATGAGGTGAGTCAGGGAGATAAGCATTTCTTGAAGAGGAAAGGAAGCAAGAAATGGAGATAAATTTCTCTGTCTTTACCTTCAAAGAGAGAGGGGAGTGACAAGGGAGTGACGGGATGAAAAAGGAACTAAGATGTATCATATATAAGTATCAAACACCCACAAAAGATGCAACATTATGTCTTCCAAATATGGACAAAAAAGGGATGAGGATCAAGAGATGGGGAAGAGGAGGAAGTGGTGTGACAGGGCATGAGGAGTGGAATGCAGAAGTCATGTGTGCAAGTATACAAGGATGTAAGCATTTTGTGCCACACAGATACTAATGAAAAATATGACCTGCTTCAAGTTCCAGACCACTCCACATTCCACAAGTTACATTTTTCCAGGTGTAGCTATTCACATCTCATTTGGGCTGTGACAGTAGCAGGACTGCCTGGGTAGAAGAGAAGAGAGACATCCTGTGGTGGAGGCAATATTAAAGGACAGGATACCATTTGCTGGAAAGAAAAATCTTTGACAAATCAAGAGGGCTTCAAGCCTCTATCCCTGGTGCTGTCTTTACTATATGTGTGGGTAGGGTTTGAGCTATTTGAAAATTTCTGTTTCTTTGTTCAGTGGTAACTTGCACGACAGCAGTCACAATGAATTTGGGGATATTTACTAGTATACTTTTAAAAACAATGAAGCCCTGTATGTTGGGTGAATTAGGATTGGGACATGGAGGAAGTTGGTGTTGGGAATGTGGGTGTACAGTGAAATACTTTCCCCACAGAGTATCTTCCTGGAGAAGACTATAGAAGCGGCTTTGGCACTAAGTGGGGTGCTGAGAAGGGCACAGAGGCTTGGGTCTGGGTTTTCTGGTATCTTCTTCAAGAAGGAAGTTTGCTCAAGAGAGCCATAAAGGGACAGATTCTGTGTCTGGGTTCCAGGCTTGTCACAAAAGGGAGGACACAGTTGAAGTCTGTAGGGACGTTGTACTTGTATCTGATCACCTAAGGAACAAAAAGCATTTTTAACTTTTCCCACTTTTTGACAGAATAAATATCCTGTCATATTAACTCCTCAAATCAAGGATAATTTATCTAAGTGATCATAATAACAAACCAGATGGATTATTTAAAGACAAAGCATAGGACCATTCAACATACTTCTCGTAGTATATCCTAAAGTCACACTTAAGTATTTTTGTCGCTATGCCCATAGCAACACAGGCATGGGTGGTCCAGTGCTGCTCCATTTCTGACTGTTTGTTTCTGAACTGGCAGGAAATAATGAATGAGGAAATAATGAAAAAGAAGAAACAGAGCTTCTTTCTAAAATGGATGATCAGGATGAGTAAGATATACAGGGTCACTGAAGCACCAAGAGGAATATGAATCACATTCATGATGCAAAGGGGAATGTAAACGTCTGTTTTTAGCAGTTTCATTCCACCAATCCACCTTGCCAATGTCCTTTTTGCAAATTTCTATATTCTTATGAAGAGGAGTTGGTTTGAGTAAACTTCAGAGTTTTCTTGTTATCCTAGATCACTCCTGTCCTCTTGTGTATGGTCATATTGACCTTACCTTGAGGTGATTGTCAGAAATTTCAGTCTGAAAGGCAACTAGGGGAGAGCCAGTCCCAAGCCTCTCTGTGAGTTAGTGCCATTTGCAGACTGTGGAGGGATAGAACCTGGCCCCACAAGGAGGAGATCCCTGCCTGGAAGTCATATCATTTTCAATGTTTTGTTGGGTTTTTGTTTTCTTTTGTTTTGTTTATGTAACTCTGATTGCATGAACAGCTGTTTACAAGATAAAAAGACATGTTATTGAAGCCATTGTGTATTTACTACTGGCTTGTTTTGGTGTTCTTTATTGCCTTCATTGTTTTGTTTTTATTGTCTCTATTAATTTTTAATATGTCCAAAGGTGGTGTCTGTAGCTATTTTGAAGACAACAAAGGCATTGTGGTAATTATTGTTAATTTCATGAGGTTTGGAAGTTCTATATCATTTATAATGTTTTATTTTGATTGATTTTGTTTTATTTTTCTTAGTTTTATACTCTTTAAAATAAAAAAAGAAAGGCAATCGTGCAAGTGTACAATTCACATACTATGAATATATTTACAAATAGATGCAACAGTTAATATTCATAGGACTGGATCAAATTTTATATGTTTGTGTCTGGTGATCTGAGTAAACCTTGAAGATCACTATGTAAAATAACAACCTTAGTTATGTTCCTACCACTTTCTTTTGAAGGTATATATTGTCATTGTTTTGAGGTCTTTGCTATTGCTATTTATTTGTCTTTTTTGTTCTTGTTTTTCTTTTTTGTGGTACTGAGGATTGAACTTGTGACCTTGCACTTGCCAGACAGGAACTTATGCCACTGAACTACATCTCCAGCTGTTTCTTGTTTTTCTAGTGATTTTTTTTTATTTTTCCCTGAATAACAGATGTACATGTAGAGGTTTATACATGCCTAGAACTTCTAAACAATTTATGAGAATTGATTGTATTATGGGTGATACGAACAGTTACTTTGAAGAAAAAGAGACATTATGGTATCCATTGCTGATTTCCTGTTATCATGCTGTGAAATCTAGTAATGCTTTTATTCTTTGCTCAAAGTGGTTTTAACCTGTTTTGTATTATTTAATTTCAACATGCATGAAGGTATGGACAGCTATTTTGAAGAGAAAAAGAGACATTACAGTAACCATTATTGACTTTCTCATTGTCTGGTTTTGAATGCATGTTATTCATTCATTATTCTATTTTGATCAGTTTTATACTATTTTGTTTTGTGTAAATTCATTGTGTGTGAAGATACAGGCAACCATTTAGAAGAAAACAAGAGACATTGTAATAGCCAATAGCTCCTGTTGTCTTGCTTTGAAATCCTGTATCACTTACATTTTTTTCTTGTGATCTTTGTTTTGTTTTGTTTTACCCTCTTTAAAATAAGAAAGATGTATGCATATATATGTGTATAGTATCACAACTTTCAAAGACAGAGAAAGCATAAGAAGTATGGGAATGTATAGGTCTCCAGGAGCTACCTTGACTATTTGACATTCAAAACACTGATGCACTGTTGCCAAACATGTGCCAGGTTTATGTTTTGAAAGTTTTAACATGATATTCTCAGAGAAATTTCTCCCAGTGGCCTATTGACCTGTCAGTCATTGAGCTCTAATTACATATATTCACTCTTTATTATACTTTAGGGATTTAAATTTTCTAATTGGAGTTCAGGCCCGAGACTTGACTAAATTAAGGCAGAAGTTGGAGGAAGGATGCAATACTGCCTCCACGCTCCATCAGAATCTGAAAAGTCTCCTCTCTGCCAATGACCAACACAGATGCCATATGAAAAGTCTCAGATACAAACTTGTTGAGGGGTGCAAGCTGGTCAATTGTCTGGCCCACAAACTGAGCCCAGGTGAGATGGACACAGGCCCTGGTTAACCCTGTCCTAACGCCAGGTGCTCACTTCCTAGGAGACACTGTTACACCAGCATTCTTTATATCTGTTCTCCTCCTATCTGCCTTTTAGCAGTTTCATTCCCACTTGGAGTCTTGGCCAGAGGAACTAAGCACCCATCCAGCATCTTCCCAGGAATAGGATGTGGCAGGTGGAGTCATGACAGATTGATAACAGCCTGTGATATGAATAAATGTTTTCTAGTTATCCTCATACTGATTTTATTGTGAATTACAGGATGATTGATCCTTCTTGGAGTTTTGTTTCTTCACCTCTAAAATGCTCATAATATGTGTTGTGTGATAGTCATAGCATTAGAACAGGGACATTTAATTAATATCATAGCAGGTGGATGATGCCGTTCAGAGTAGTAGAATGCAGTGGTTCAATGTTGGGAAAATGAACACTCAGCAGGTAACTTAGGCAAAATTTCCTTTAATTAAATGATAAAAGCCCAATGGACGATCCTAGAAAGTTCACAGACTTATGAAGTTTGTGTGGCAGAGTTGTTTCTCCTGGTCTTAGCAAAGAGAGTAGATTAAATGGGAGAGCACTGGTGAGGTACCATGGAGCTATAGGTCCCATGAACCAGCTATGTGACATGAAGGAGGTGCAGCTGGAGAAGCTCAGGGGTAGCTGGATTTCTCCAGTGTCTCTTCATTTGAGGAATAAAAAGTCTTTTCCCCTTTGCCCACTGGAACCTCAAGGATTCCTCTAGGAAAATCCATCAGCTAGAGGTCTTTAGTGTCCTTTTCAGAATACGTTAGTAGGCCACTTTTTAAAGGCAAACATAACATTTTTCTAACCTCATATATGCATAACATTTGTCTTTTCACCAAGATGGCCCACTCATCAAGATGGCCCAAGACTGGGTGAGATAAGCTGTCAAATGTCTGAATTAGATATTTTGAATTTGATTGCAGGTAATCTAGATGATGAAGATGAGGATGATCAAATTACCCTGGATTCCAGGTAAGAGCTAAGAATCAGGGGCTCATACGCAAGTGTGAAATTGAGTGGGTTTTGCAAAAGTAAAGACCATGGGATCGAAATAGTTACAAATTTCCAGAAATGCCATGTCTCTTTTGCAGTCCTTACTACTTTCTCCATGGTACTGACAGTATGAATCTGATTTATAAGGAGAATTAGGCAGCTATGGGGATTCTTACCCTTTAAGAAATGACTTGTTCAGTGTAGGAGTGAAATCAGAACAAAGTGCATGTTTTGTTTCTGTATTGCTGGAGTGAGGCTATGACATGTGTGCCAACGAAAAAGAAGAAGGAACCAGCCTAGCCCATAAAGAAAATAATGTCATGTCACAATGCTACTATGTAGTTTAAACTGGCCTTGATCTCACTATGTAGCCCAGGCTCACCTCGAACTTGCCACCATCCTCCTGTCTCAGCCTTTTTGAGAGCTAAGATAATAGGATGTAGCACTGCTCCTGGCTAGCAAAAGTTTTGGGAAGTGGAATTTTGTGAATTTACCAAGTTGAAACCTATGTTGCCTGGACCCCTACAAAATTAAACATTGTGTAGGCACAAGATTGAGCCCCTGAAATGGTTCTCCTTGGTTGTTCCCTCTCATCACTCTACCTTCCATGCACAGTTTAGTATTTTTCCTCATCACCTTATTATCTATCCAGTTCACTGAGAAGTGGTTGATCTTTCTATGTTTGTAACTGTTGGTCATC